ACATTTTATTTTGAAAACACATTTTATGACCAGCACATGTTTTGGATGAAAAAGTGAACATATGAAGATTATTCACAAAAGCAGCTGCTTTTTTTCTTCCTTAATCTGGGGGTATTGGTTGATACTTGCCTGAACATGAGCCAGTAGTGTGCCCGTGTGGCTAAGAAGGCCAACGGCATCCTGGCTTGTATCAGGAATAGTGTAGCCAGCAGGACCAGGGAGGTGATTTTCTTCCTGTACGCAGCTCTGGTGAAGCTACACCTCCTGTACTGTGTTTAGTTTGGGACCCCTCACTGCATGATCAATGGCACATCAAGGCCATCAAGCATGTTTAGAGAAGGGATACGAAGCTGATGAAGGGTCTGGAACAGTCTTATGAGTAGTGGCTGAGGGAGCTGGTGTTTAGTCTGGAGAAAAGGTTCAGAGGAGACCTTATTGCTTTCTACAACTCCCTCAAAGGAAGTTGTGGGGAGCTGGGTGTTGACCTCTTCTCACAGATAACTAGTGATAAGACAAGAGGGAATGGCCTCAAGTTGTGCCAGGGGAGGTTCAGGATAAAAATGAGGATAAATTTATTTTCAATAAGAGCAGTTAGGCAATGGAATGGGTTGCCCAGGAAGGTGGTGGAGTCACTGTATTTAAGGAAACAAGTGTTTCCTTAAACTGGTGTTTAAGGAAAGGTTGGACGTAGTACTTAGGGACATGAAAGTAGTGGGTAGTATTGGTGGTAGGGGGATGGTTGGACTAGATAATCTTGGAAGTCTTTTCTAACCTTAATGATTTTATGTTTCTATGATTAATCAGATGGGATTTCGATTGGTGGAAAGCTCACACCTTATTATTATTATTATTATTATTTTATTCTTTTTCCTTTCTAAAACTAATCCTGAAAATCTGTTTTATGATAAAAGTAAGTACTTGCTGCATCCTGAAGTACTTTGATTACATGATTACTTTGAGACATTCAAAACCTGCCTGGATGCCTTCCTGTGTGACCTGATCTAGGTGTTCCTTCTCTAGCAGGGGAATTGGACTAGATGATCTTTCAAGGTCCTTTTCAATCCCTAACATTCTGTGATTCTGTGACAATCTCCAGAAAATAACAAAACAAGTTTATTTTAGTTTGTGGACTTGAAAAAAAAAAAAGAGTAAAGAATGAAAAACTTGACATGTCCCATAAGACAGATGTAAATGGTGAAAGGCTGACTAAAAACAGATGGGCAAAGTTAAATTTCATATCATTTATAACTATTTGGTTCTCTAATTTAAGTGACATACAATGAAGTGTTTTTTATGTTATCACTGAAATAGTCTTTCATCCCAGCAAATTCATGCTCACAGGGTGTAGTCTCTAATTATTCAATATGAAGTACATGTCCATTCTTTCAGCATAACAAGGGCCAAATTTCTTTGGCCTTAAAATTCCTACATTAGTTCATTATTTTTGGTTCTGAAACATATCTGTTCCTCTGCAGTACTAATTTATTTAATTGACATATCTTTCAGGAGTTATAATGAAACACACTAATAGAGCTCAGAGCACACATTAAGATTGTAACACATTGAGTTAATTGTGTTCACCTGCAGTACAAAGTCAGAGATCAACTGGCTACACACCACTAAATGAAATGAAGCCAGAGGAAATTACATGTTGCTGATCTGAACAGAAACCTAAGCTTCCTTTTGGCTCATTGAGGACTGGTAGTGTCTTCAGTGCCCAAGCTTGATTCCCTACTGCAACTTCTTGCATATTCTGAGCTGTCTCTGAGCTCTCTTGCATATTCTGAGCTGTCTCCACTTCATGCCTTCCTCTGCTTGGTATGTCTGGCCTTTACAGATGCAAAAAGTATTGAAATAAAGAAATCTCTGTAAATATAACACATCAATATTGTCCATGTGAAGTAACCCACACTTTTGGGATGGAATGAAGATCGTTTTGGTCCAAGATTTATCATATTGTTGGCTACCTCTATCTCCACTTTTTATTTACTTAGTTATTTTCTGCATGACATTTGTTTACCACTGTGGAAGGAACACATTGATACTCATGCTCAATGTATATGAATCAGGAGGTATGGTCTGTGATCTACTTACTGAGGGATGTGTCCTTTCAGCTCCCATTGTTATTAAATGCAGAGAATAAACCCTTAGAGCTCACCATCTTTGTCTTTACGGGATAAAAGATCCATCCATCATACAGCCACATGACCTGTCTGCACAAAATTATGGCAATGGCACAGTCAACCAATACCCATTTCTTTCTTCATGGAAATCAGTGCTACAGAGGAATTTAGGTAATGCATTCTCATGTAATCCCATAGAATTTTAGGCATCATACTTTTCCTTCTCTAGGATATTTTAATCAAGTTTTCTAGATGAACTGCACAAGAATTATGTATAGCATTTTTATTATGCAGTAATATCAAAAAATTATTGTTTATGAGCTTACATTTATCTTGTTCCTCACAAGTCACAGTTACTTATATGCAAGAACTGAAAGTAAAATTTAAGAATAACATTATTCTTTATGTGTTTGTCTGGTTTTCTTAAAAGATACAGAAATGTTTGAGATTGATTCTGAAAATAGAAAATAATCATCCTCAGGAATTTCAGAAAGTAGATAATTTCTAATGGAAAATTCATTCAGCTTTAAATGGTTATTTTTATTAAACAGTTGCTTGAGGATCATCCTTCATAAAGCTGTAAAAGGTTTCTTGGTACAGAACTAAAAATGACATTTAAAATTAAATTTATGGGATAGTTTTCCTGTTTTTTCACTTATTTCTTGTTCATGCACAGAGTCACATTTGCTAACATTTGATGGAGTTACATTTTTAAGCAAGTATCTCTACATGTACATTTTGTGTGTGTAATTGAGGACAAAACCATCATCCAAAGTAAAAAATTTGAAAAATTATTAGTTAATTATCCATGAAGCACATTGGCAGAGCTGTACTGAGATGAAAGAAACCATGTAAGCCAGGTTCACCTGTTACAAAATAATAGATGGTTATACATGTAGTACTCACTAAAAAGATCCTCTCATCTCTTGAGGAAAACTTAGCACAGCTCCATTAACTAAAAAAGATAAGTTTTTGTATGTTTCTTTTGTTCTTGTTCACTGAAAGTGGTTAGGGACTATGGAATAAATGTTCTAGACTATATCTTTATCTGTAGTAATGTTCAGGATGTCCCTGAAACAATTAATTGCAGAAACGTGAGAAGTACCTTCTACTATTTGAATTCCAAGGAAAGATTAAATTATGATTTATGAGGTTTAACATTTCTAGTCTTGGAGCTACTGTGAAACCTGTTAAGTTTCAGTGAGACTGCAGAGGACCCCTTGTAATCAGTCTCAAAGGGAGGAGGAAGAGAATATAATCACCTTAGTACAATGCTCGCTCATTTAATTTAACTCTTTAAAATGATGATAACATTTTAAAAATGTGAAGGTCACTCATATGCTTCTTCACTATTTCATATTCACATATCTCAAATGGAGACCCCAGGTGTTCACATCAGAATTTATTTAATGTCTTAAAAAATATTTCATCTGCCCAGTAAACATAATACAATTATGCTCAGTGGAAACATAATACAATTATGCTTACAGGGAAAAAAAAAAATCTGGGAGTAAGACTCATAATGATTGTTTGTGCTTTCTTGGCATTAAAGAAACTAATACTTCCAGACTTTCCTTCATAATGAGAGATTCACTTCACCTGTAGGTTCAGATTCAGCTGTCACAAAATGTGACAGTAAATTTCTTACTTAATTTTTACTCCAAGAAAGGAAAGGTAACCAAACGTCCCCTCTTCCTCAACCAACTCATTTCTTCCTTTTTTTGAAACACATCTAGAAGATATTTAAAAGTCTTTATACACTGTGACAGTAAAATATGAAATGAACATTAAGTCTAAAAGTACTTAATAATGAATTTGGAATTAATAAATCTGATTATGTCAGTGATCAAATGATTTGCTAAAGCAGAGCTTATTGAATTGATGTTTAATGCTCATCTAAGGATAAACTAAGTTTTGGAATATAATTAAATGAGCAGAAATGCATAACCACAATCTTATTAATATGTTAACCTTGTAAAAAATATTTTAGTATTGCAGCCATTTAACAAGATAGCCAAGGCAAGTTAATTAGATTTCAAGTGAGTTGCTAACCATGCTAATTTATATTTTATAAGATTATTAATTAAAAATCAACATACTATAACTTCAATGCAGTATCTTACTATATTTTATTACCAGTTTTCACTTACAAGTAAATTAAACAATGCAAGTATAAAGGATTAGAAGAGTGCAACTAACCATTTATTGTTAATATACTAAAAAATTATGGTTTATCTTTTATATACTTATTACATCTTATGACGTGCTCTTTTTAGCAATCACTTAATCCAATATGTGAATTTTCTGTGCAAATGAAAATATAGGTTTAATAAAACAAGCATGTATATTATGGCACTTCCTATGTTCTCATTTCATTCATGGGAGAAAATTAAATTATGAAAGGCAAGAGATACAGAATATCAAATGTTAAGAAATAGTGCACTGACAGGTATTCTTCCATTAGGCCCATGACACAAGACACCAAATAAATGAATCTTTTTAACCTATCATTTAACATTTGTTATTGAATTTAATTCAATACATTTAATTGAAGAGCCCAAGAGCATGGGACTGCTGCTGCTGTGCTATGCCCAGCAGCCATAAATGTTCTGCAGATATTTCCATTCATAACTGTAGCAAGGAAAAGCCCTATTTATGACTATATGCTATTTTACCCCATAATTATTATTGTTTTATTGAATTCTGAGTTGATAAAGATATAAGAAAGTGAGGAAGTTCACTGAAGTAAAGAGCATGATTTGTTTTAGGAAAACTACTGCTTATTTCTTCTGCTTATTATTCTAAATCACAGAAACTCCAAACCAATGGGCATATCCAGCAGCTCATTTCTTTCCCAGCTCATTTCTCATTTCTTCCTCCCATTCAGGGTGTGTAAATCCAGGAGGCCAATGCCTCTCTGAGTGCTGTTACTTCCTGTAGGGCCACCTTGCTCTATTAGTGGATGCCAAACTTAATAATTGCTTACATCTGAGGATTCTCCAACAGAGGTTCCTTGACAAGGCTTGCTGAAGAGCATTGCAAACTGTTACAAGGTGAGACAGTGAATCCTGTTTTCCAAATGCTGATGTTGTTTTGACTTGTGCTGCAAACCACAGCCCACAGTACTCCTTTCTGGTTTAGACTCTGATTGAACATGTCTTGCTATAGCAAATTTCATTTCTTGTAGCATTTTTGTTCCCTACCATGGCCTCAATGTCAGGATGTTGTTTACCTTCTATAAGCTTTTCAGACTGAAATAGTGAGTTATTGAACTGCTTCATTTTTCCCTTCAGGGCACCATTTCATTCCTGTTCAGCAATCAGTTTGAGCCACAGAAGCTGATTTGTTTCATTTAATCTTTGAGATCTGGGCCGGGTTTTGCACATTTTAGCACAGTAAGTAGCTCCTTTTATCTCATGCCTCTTCATAGTTTATCTTCCCACCAGTAGGCAGAAGGACAGAAGCAAAACACATCACACTCACCATGCTCAGGCCCTCAGAGGAGCTCAGAGCACTTTATATATCTTAAAGCATTTCTTTTCCAGCTCTTTCAAATCAATGGCACTGTTGCCATCAAAATCACACTAGCCATCAGTTTCCTCTTTCTCTCTCACTTTTTTTTTTCTTTACTCTTCCTTTTTTCTTTTTACCTTGTGTATAATCTTTCTCTCCTTTCTATTACTGGATCTCACAGCCTTAATTTTTTCATGGCTTCTTCTGTTGCCATCTGTAGGGTTTTGCTGCCTCTCTATTTGTTCTCCTCAGTACAGATGAAAAGCTGCCATTAGATGTACATTCTTCTTTGTGCTTTCTTGATCACTTGGTAAAGAAGGTCAGCTAGGTCTGGCCCCCATGGGGGTCCTCTGGCCCCCACATTCCCCAAATTGCCACCCAGTAGATGCTGCCTGCCCTTCTTCAAATGCCCAGAGCAGCCTTAGGTTGCCTTTAGACTCTGCTTGCTGGGCTACTTTAAGTGTCCTGCCACCTTTCACCCTCATCTACAGCAGTAGTTATGTTAAGAGCCTTGTGATTGCTGCCTAGCACTCCTGCTTTCTTTTGCAGATCTTTGCCAGTCTCAGGCTGAAGAAGATTTTCTCAAGGCCAGGATTGTTTCTCATTCAGCAAAGCTATCAGATATATTTCAATTTTCCTGCTCTTTGCACACGACATAGTAAATTTTCAGTATCAAGTTCCACTCAACCCTAAAGCTCATGGAATATTCTAAACACCTGGATAGTGTTACTGAGTGTTGTACAGATGGCAACATGGGGAACATCCAGTACATGGGAAAGTGAAGGCTTCCTTTTGCTAGTACAGAAGAATTTAATTTCCATTTTCCCCATTTTTGCTGTACTGCGTGTAGGGCTTTAATTCATTCAAAGCCTTACTTTTTTTTTTTTTTTTTTTTTTTTTTTACTGAGGCTTCCAACAGCTATGACACTATGACATACCGACATACCATAATTACTAAATAAAGCCTAAGTGTCTTGGAGTCCTCTTATCCAAGCTATATATTTTTATGTTCAGTACAGGCAACTGTGAGCACAACATGGGTAATTATACATTCAGTTTGAAATGTCCCAGTATTTACTCTGTCATTCCTGCATGGAATTATTCAGTGGTAAATCCAATATGAGATTGCAAGTAGCATCTGCAATTATTTTATTTATTTGTATTTCTCTATACAGAAAAGCTAACCCAAAATGTCATTCATAAACATGGTGCTAAATCATGCCTTGGCAATTTGTTTCTTACAGACAGACCATCCAGAAAGCCAATGCACATAACAACAACAACAAAATAATAATTCAAAAGAAGGCATTTTACCAACAACTGGAAATATATCTGTTTTCCCCCCTTAAGGAGCCTCAGACCATTTGTGACTCTCAGGAGGTCATTGGGCCTGTAGGCAGAGAAAATTGAAGAGTCCAAAAATTTCTGCCAAGAGCATCCTTCTCATAGATCCTTGGTTTTCGACATGACAAGATTCCAGTTGAAACAGCTCTATTAAATGCTGCAGTGCCAGTAGAAAAGCCACCTTTTATACAGGCTGGTGTCCAAGGGATTCTTGTCTTTCTATCCACAGCAGGCAAAAGTGCAAAAGTGGCCACTGAGCACTACAGTGCCATTTTGCATCATAACCTTCTGTGTTCTCCAAGGTGCTCTGATTGAGAGGTACAGGATAATAAACTGCTTCCTACACCTGCTTTGGGCCTTAAGTGGTTTTTGAAGTCTGGTGATAGAGTGTGTCACAGTAAGTGGCAAAGTTCACAGCTGAAAGAAACAACTGGAACCTCTTGGACATTCCTGTATGGGGAAAAATCCTCTCCTATTCTACTGTTATCTAATAGCAAGTTATTGTTCACAGTCAAAGCTAGGCTGTGAGCTTTGAAATTAATAACTGATATTTTCAGAAGTAAGAAAGCCTTCGAGAAATCCATCTTCATCTGCCTTTTTCCCTCCAGCCCACCATCTTATTGTTGGGTTTCCTCACACTAAACTTCAGTCATCTTATTGTTACCTGACTCCAACTATAAATGGACCAACAGGCTACTTATTCTCCTGTTTTCTCATCTATGCAACCCTGAAAACAGATAATAGTTGGCTTTGTATATTGGTTGTTTTTAAAAAATACTTTTCCTCTTACAGTAATATATAGAAACACAGAATTTGAGATTGATGTCCAACAAGGACAAATAACTGTTGAAAAGGCCAGTCAATATCACTCATTTACCTCAGACTTATTTTTGCCAGCAGAAAATAACCAGCTTGAGATCACAAAGTAACACTCAAAAAATTTGGAGTTTCTCCTAGAATTGTGGGCATTTGTTTATTCCTTTAGAACTTACTTTAAAATCATGAAGGTTGTTGGCTTATGTTGTATGAATTAGTGAATACCAATATTTTATGTAATACATTAGTGCAGTAATTTTCCTCACAAGCCAAATAAGCAAGCACATGAAAGGATATTGGTATAATATTGCCATATGCAATAAAATAGTGTTCTGAAAACTGAAGTGCAAGAGGGTTTATGAATATTAAATATATCATATTTTAAAGGTCTTACCACTCTCCTAATACTGTCGTGGCATAGATTTTATTTGAACAGTTCCAAATGCATTCTGAGATGTACATTTGTTTTTGCTTAGCCTGAAACTTGATAGCAGATCATTGTTTTAGGCTCAAAGGCTCAATGATAGCTTACAGACAGCATTTCTGGCCAGCAACTTTGGGAGAAATAGGAGTAAAAGGGGAACATTAGCATGGGGCCCAACATAGCCCCTTTGTATATTGAGCTACCAAAGTATTGAAAAAAAGGTGACTTTTTCAAAAAAGGCCTCTTAGCCTCCCCCCTCCCACTTTGGAACAGTTGAAATATGACTGGGGAAAAAATCACCTGGAATTTTATATTTGAAAACTTAAAAAAAAAAAAAACAGCAACAATAAAACTCAGAATAGCTTGATCTAATTTAAAACTTCTAAATATTGGTTTCACTGAAGTTTCTTTTTCAGTATGCAAGCCTGGGTTCTATTATCATTATTACCCTGATGCTTCTACTTTCATAAATCATAAATAAATTTGATAAAGAGAAAGTTAGCACAGCCCTAGGAAAATTCAACAGGTTGTCAGCTATTTTGTATTCAATAATTAATGAGAACAAGATGTCTCCATTACATAAATAATTCCTTTGCATTTCATTCAATTATGCTGTTATTTTAGATGTTTATTATTGAGAGAAAGGATGGATTTTGAAGGGCAAAGTGGATATTCTGGGTTGAGATAATTGTTGAGCTCTGGAGATTAGTGATCTGTTATTAATAACAATCCATAACGCAATGTTCACATGCAGAAATGAAAAAAAAAAATAATTTAAAAAGCGGATACTGTATGAGCCCAAAAGCTTTGATCAAACAGAATAGGTTAGAAATTTTTCAAATATCTATCTCTCTTCCTGGAAAAATTAAGATTCACTGAAACCCACACTTGCTGTTTAATAATTTGCTGTAATCAGTGGGGATGTAGTATTACTGTGGCTTTTGCATATGACTAAAACAAGCTAATTAATAAAAAGCAGTCTTTTCTTTATTATACATATATATATATGGAGGACACTGGAAACTCTGAAGCTGCTGAAGACCCTTTTCAAAGCTCTCTACTTTAGTTTTTCATAGCAGAGGTAGATAGAAAATGTAGCTCATACTTGGCAACTGTGGAACTGTGTGTTCACCCCACTAAAATTTTGCAAACCTTGCTGAAATCTTGCTTTGTTATTTTTAGTTGATGACAACATGCAGGCACCAAAAATTGTATACTTTATGCAACTCCAAATCTCATACAAGTTTGCTATAACATGTAAACAACTTCTTATAACATCTAACATACTTCAGTAGATAATTCACCTTGACTAACACCCTAAACACTGTTCAGAGTTTTTGTGTACCTGAACACCATCAGAGGAGCCTGAACTGGGAATTTCACTGGTCAGCCTAAACCTTTTAGAGAAGGGCATACAGTGGCTCAGGCTTACAAAAAGGGGAAGTAGAGAAAGTTACAAAATCTTTTACCATTAAAGGTAATAACACTTTTGTCTATATTTTGACATATAGTCATTAAATCCCTTCATCCTGTACTATTTGAATAATGATTCATTTCTAATATTCTTGTTTCTGCTGTACTGTAAACACAGGAAAACACATGCACACAGTTTACCGCATTTTTTAAACTTATTTATTTTCTTTATTTATTTTGTTGAGATTTTTACAAAAGCTACACATTAAATTTGTCTGGGAGCTATATACATTATTGATAGCAAATCTATTGTATGCACCTCAACAGCAAAAAGTTTTTAGCGTTTAAATCTGATCTGAAATTTGAGTCTATTTTGCTTCTGAGCTCTTCCTGAGGCATGACCAAAACATACTGAAGCTCTGCTAATGCTGTCAACTGCTTGATGAATAAGCATCCTTCAAAAGTACACTGTCAAGATATAACATAAATTGATAGCTTGCAATAGTATGCTGCCAATTAAACTTCTTGATTCATCTTGTTTCCTGTATATACCCTTGATTTGCTTTTATGTAATTAGGGTTTTGTGTGTATCTACTTCCCCGGTTAAGCTGCCTTAGTAAATGTCATTTTGTCCCCATATGCTCCTAAAGTGTATTCCTCATAACATAGGACATCACACCTCATGTATTTCTCTTGAATTTGCTAAATCCACCATATTTCCAGATAACAACAAGTGTATCTGCATGACAGAGATGAGATTCCTTGTATTAATGGGCATAGCTGATGAGTTGTCACATAATTTTCTTTCACATCATGCATGACAGGAGAAATGTACAAAATCTGTGTATGATGATCAGACAGACATTGGAAAGGTATAATTTAGGTTCTTTTACTGGTCAAGGGTTGCCAAGTAAAAGTAGACAACGAGGTCAAAAGGTTATTCATCATATCTTTAAGCTGATGTCTACAGCAGGTTAAGTATACGGCACTCTATCCTCCCATTGACTGGTTCTGTGCAGCATAGATCTAAATTTGGTCACATCAATGCCTTTTATGGTGGGATTAGACTAAGGATTGGATTGAAATTACAGGAAAGGTAGTAAATAGCAGACTCCAGTTCTACTGGCATTTATTGTTTTCACTCATGTATGTGTGTTAGAAGTCCAGTGCAATTCATTCTGTAACTGCTAACTACAAAGTGTACATCAACTGTACCTTATTTGTGCCTCAGATCATACAACTACATAGATAGTTTACATCTGATGGAGATGTGCAGTCAGAGATAAAATCTTATGTTTGCTTAGGCTGCCAGACACCATGCACACTGATGTGCAAGGTAGCTGCCAAATCTGAATTGTTGCCTTTACTGATGTAGATAGTAATGAACTATAATTACCATTCAGTTTTCCATATGCCACTAAAGAATTTGTATAATTAACTCCATATTTAAATATGATTCATGTCTCCAAATTTAAATGTTTCTGCTGGGTCCAGGAGCTTTAACATTCTTCATGATTTCAATTGCTTCGCTAATTTCTTCAAGGTAGGGGGCTATGTTAATTTTACAGTACTTCAGATGATCTGTTTCTTTGTTGCTTTTTTATTTATAACTTTTTTTTTCTTATCATCTGAAAGAGTACTGATGAGATGATAAAACCAAATTCAATTTGAAAAAAAAAGAAAAAAGCTAATGTTTAAAAGCCATCAAATTAAAGCCAGTTTTGGTATTTCTGGATTTAAAAGTCCTGTAATTTGATACCAACGATTTTGGGTAGCTATTTCAAAATAGATATTATTTGAAAATGTAAAAATGAAGACTTACAACTAAATAATACATTTCACAATGCTTCATTGTAACAGAACATTTAAATTGACCTAGCTCGAATTTTATTTATTTATTTATTTATTGACATTGCAAATAATGTATAGATCTCAGAAAATCACCCAGGATAGAAAAACTGCTTCCCATAATTTGACTACCAATGCCTCCATTCAGTCATTAAAACAATTGTCTACAAAGTGGTTAGAAAAAGAGAACAAACTCTTCCAAAAAACTGCCTAGCAAGCCTTGATAAAAGACATCAGCTCACGTTCTTTAACCATGTGGTTACAATATGTGCTGACATTCCCAGATCATAATATTTCCATTTTTTCCTGAGTCAGTTCTGAGTTGACAGAGGCACAGTTGTTGAGTTTTACCTTGATTTGGTTCCCCTCCCACCCATAAATGTACATCATATATTGATATGATTCAAGT